AAAGGTCGTCTTTGAAGGAATGACCCGAGCTAGGACAGCGAAAGATCGGCAAAAATTAGGCACCCTTAAGCAATTGACCGTCCAGCCGTCAACAAGAGTTCGTTATGAGAAGGCTTTAGGAAAATTTCTCGGTTTCCTCAAGGCCGAAGGCCTCGAGCTTCCACGTCGTCGTGAGCATTTGGACCCTTTAGCCATGGAGTACATAGAACATTTATGGATATCGGGGGAGGGGCGTGGTCTGGCCGCCGACACCCTGGCATCTTTGCAAGACTACGACGCTAAGATTCGGGGGCATCTCCCTGGAGCCTGGAGGCTGGCCAAGACGTGGGTCACCCACGAATTGCCAAATCGGGCGCGACCAGTCCCTGAATCAGTCTTGCGCAGTATGGTAGGTTGGGCATTGTACCATAGCCATTTTGCCTTCGCCGCTAGCCTGTTAGTGTGCTTTTATGGCACTTTGCGAACGGGAGAACTGTTAGAGATCACTCGCAACCGAGTAGAGATTTCTGCAAGGCTTCGCACCGTCGTCATAGCGCTAGGCCTCACCAAGGCCGGAACACGAACAGGGGTCCAAAAAAGTGTTTCCTTGGCACATGATACCGCTTTCCGCTATGTACAGCACTGGACGCACCTCACCTCACCTCAGCAGAAGTTGCGCCCGTCTCCCCCAAGGTGGAGAAAACTGTTTTTACCAGCCTCCATTTAGACCATTGGAACTCAGGCCTTACTCGCTCTGTGGGGTTTCTTTTTGACCTGTTTGGGCTCTTCTGCGCGCAGGATGACCTTGGGCTGGACCCCTTTTCGATTTCTGGCTTCTTTTTGACTTGTGTGAGTACCAGGGCTGTTTGGGCGGCGGGTACCTGTGTAGGGTTTCTTTTTGATCTGTTTTGGCGCCGGGCTGTTTGGGCGGCGGGTTTGCTAAAAGCCGTGACAGGGGCTGTTTGGGTACCTGTGTACGGTTTCTTTTTGACCTGTTTGGGTTGCTTGCGAGCGGGGAGAGGCCGTGGAAGGGTTTCTTTCCTTTTGACCTGTTTGGGCGCTAGCCTAGTCTATCCACTTGCGGCGTGGCAAGGCTATTTGGGCACCTCTGTGGGGCTTCTTTTTGACTTGTTTTGGGCGCCAGGATTGTTTTGCGAAAGGCCGGCGAGGAGGAGCGACTTGGTGGTTCGGTCAACACGGTAACCTCGATAGAGTCATGGTTTTGGGCAGATGGCAGGCCCAGAAAACCGCAAGGTTGTACTTGAACGAGTCTAGGGCCATTTTGGCCGAAATGCAGTTGGGATCATTAGAGAAGACTTTGGCGCCATACCGGATCTTTTTTCAGAATTCAAATCCCAGGAACTTTGAAACACTTGAGCCGTTGCAAAGCAACAGGCCGTCCTCGAATAAGCCAGGCCTGGGGGGACTTGGAAGGAAGAGAGAAAATTTAACCAGCAGCGAAGAGAAAAAGAAACGCTGGTGTCCCTCAGGGGCCGGGTTTGGGGTGTGGCCCACCTGGTTGGGGGGGGACGATTGTCCGGGAGCGCCCCCTTCCGTGTGTTGTGGGCCAGGAAGGGGGGGGGACAATCATTTCGACTTTGGGGAGTACTTTTTTGGTTCCCAATTCTTTATACTTGTGACAAACCTGCTGCAGGGCGAATAAGAAAACAGGCGCTGCTTACACTTTATATATATATATAGTATATTTTTTGATCAGCCCATGATACGCTTAACACGTGAAAATCTGATTTTCCTATATTTGGATAGAAAACTGGTGCGCGGAGTGGTGTTGACCTTGGTGCGCGGCATGGTGCGGAAGT